CAAATTTTAAAACACAATTCCTTATCTTAAAGTGAAAGAAAGAGGAAGGAAGAAAGGTAGAAAAAGAGAAACATATCCAAAGAAGGGAGAGCAAATGCAGGCAAGAGGAAAAGGGGGCTTTCTGCTACACAGGAGAGCTGGATGTACTTTAAAGAAGTCTTAGTGAGTGCAGGAACTCTCCGATGTGCAGGAAGGCTAGCAAGTATGGCAGAAGACCAGCTTGGCTTATCAGGGATCTCTTCAGTAAACCAAATCACAAAAAGGAAAAACTTATAAGAAGTGGAAATTTGGACACACAACTCTAGGGAGGAGTATAAGAGCACGGCTGGGACACGCAGGGATGAAGCCAGGAAGGCCAAAGCACAGCTGGAGTTGCAGCTAGCAAGTGATGGGAAGAGTGACAAGAAGGGTTTCTATAAGTATGTCGCTGCAAGAGGAGTGTCAGGGAAAGTGTGGGTTCCCTACTGAATGGGGAAGGCAACCTTATGGCAGAGGATGCAGAAAAGGCGGAAGTGCTCGATGTCTTTTTTACCTCGGTCTTCATAGGCAAGGTCAGCTCCCAGATGACTGCACTGGGCAGCACAGTGTGGGGAGGAGGTGAGGAGCCCTCAGAGGTGAAAGAACAGGTTAGGGACTGTCTAGAAAAGCTGGATGTGTACAAGTCCATGGGGCTGCATGGGATGCACCTGATGGTGCTGAGGGAGCTGGCCTATGTGATTGCAGAACCACTGGCCATCATCTTTGAAAACCTGTGGTGACTGGGGGAGGTCCCGGATGACTGGAAAAGGGTAAACACAGGGCCCATATTTAAGAAAGAGAAAAAGGAGGATCCAGGGAACTACAGACCAGCCGGCCTCACCTCAGTCCCTGGAAAAATCATGGAGCAGATCCTCAAGGAATCCACTTCTAAACAACTGGAGAAGGTGGTGATTAGGAACAGTCAGCAGGGATTCACTAAAGGCAAATCATGCCTGACCAACCTGATTGCCTCCTATGATGAGGTGACTGGCTCTGCGGATAGGGAAAGCAATGGATGTGATATACCTTGATTTTAGCAAGGCTTTTGATAGTCTCCCAAAGCATTCTTGCAAGCAAGCTGAGGAAGTATGGGTTGGATGACTAAGGGGGGTAGAAAGCTGGCTGGATCGTCGGGCTAACCAGGTAGTGATCAGTGGCTCAAGGCCTAGTTGGCAGCTGGTATCACGTGGAGTGCTGCAGGGGTTGATCCTGGGGCCACTTTTGTTCAATATCAACATTAACAATTTGGAAGCTGGGATGCAGTGCACCCTCAGCAAGTTTTCAGGTGACACCAAGCTGTGGGGGAGGAGGAGATGCACTGCAGGGTAGGGCTAGGATCCAGAGTGACCTCGACAAACTGGAGGATTGGGACAAAAGCAATCTCATGAAGTTCAGCAAGGACAAGTGCAAGGTCCTGCACTTAGGATGGAGCAATCCCATGCACCGGTGCAGCCTGGGGGGTGACTGGCTGGGCAGCAGCTCTGTAGAAGAGGACCTGGGGGTCACAGTGGATAAGGAGCTGGACACGAGCCAGCAGTGTGCCCTTGTGAAGAAGGCTACCAGCATCCTGGGCTGCATCAGTAGGACCATTGCCAGCAGATCAAGGCCACTGATTCTTCCCCTCTATTCAGCACTGGTGAGGCCACATCTGGAGTCCTGTGTCCGGTTATGGGCCCCCCATTGCAGAAAGGACGTGGGCAAGTTGGAGGGAGTCCAATGAAAGGGAAGAAAAATGTTTCAGGGGCTGGGGCACATGACTTGTGAGGAAAGACTGAGGGAACTGGGTTTATTTAGTTTGGAGAAAAGAAGATCGAGAAGGGATTGAATAGCAGCCTTCACCTCCCTGCAGGGGGTTGCACAGAGGATGGAGCTGGACTGGTCTCAGTGGGGGCAGATGTCAGGACAAGGAGCAATGGGCTCAAGCTGCAGCAAGGGAAGTTGAGGTTGGATATTAGCTAAAACTCTCTCACAGGGAGGGTGGTGAAGCACTGGAGCAGGTTACCCAGAGAGGTTGTGGACAGAGCCCTGTCTGGGATGATGTAGTTGGGGCTGGTCCTGCTTTGAGCAGGGGGTTGGACTAGATGTGACCTCCTGAGGTCCCTTCCCACCCTCATTGTCTCTAATTCTATGACTGGAGAAGGGCCAACATAGTGCCCCTCTTTAAAGAAGACCAGGAAGACCGAGGGAACTTCAGACAGGTTAGCCTCACTTCAATTTGTGGGAAGTTACTGGAGCATATCCTAAGGAAGGCCACTCACAAGCATCTGGAGGAGAAAGGAAAGCAACCAGCATGGATTTGTGAAAAACAAGCTGTGTCAAACAAACCCGCTCTCCTTCTCCGACAAAGTAACTGCTTGGGTGGATGCAGGGAGTGCTGTGGATATCGTGTACCTGGACGTCAGTAAGCTTCTGGCAAGCTCCCACACAACCTTCTCATAAAATGCTGGAGAAACATGGGCTGGATAAAGCTACTACACGGTGGATGATAGCAACAGGTAATTATGAATGGGCCCACGTCAGAATGGCATGAGGTTTTGAGTGGAGTCCCACAGGGGCCTGTCCTGGGCTGGGTGTTGTTCAAGATGTTTATTAAGGATTTAGATGCTGGGACAGAAAGCTTTTTGAGCAGAGGTGGCCAACCCGTGTCCCTGGAGCCACATGCGGCTCTTCAGAAATTAATATGCGTCTCCTTGAATCTTTGCACAAGCGAACAGTGACCAGCTTCCAAATGCTGGTCACCGTGTGCGGGTGCAAAGATTCGAGGAGTCGCACATTAATTTCTGAAGAGCCGCACGTGGCTCCGGAGCTGCAGGTTGGCCACCTCTGTTCTTGAGTAAGTTTGTGGATGACACAAAACTGGGAAGGACTGAGAACACGTTGGAGGATGTGAACACAATTCAGAAGGATCTCAGCAGGTTGGAGAGCTGGGCTAGAGCCCACAGGATGCAGTTCAAATGCAAGGTGCTGCACCTCGGGAGGAATAATCAAAACACAGGTATAACGTGCGACACCTGGCTGGATGCAGCTGGCTGGAGAAGGACTTGGGAGTCTTGGTAGATCAGAGACTCAACATGAGTCTGGAGTGTGATGCAACCACATGAGAGGCAAATGCAATTTTGGGCTGCATCACCAGTTGCAAGACCCAGGAGGCGATAGTGCCTCCCTACTTGGCACTGGTCAGGCCTTATCTGGATCCTCTGTCCAGTTCTGGGCTCCATATTTAATGTGGAAAAGTTAGAGAGGGTCCAGAGGTGGCAATGAAGATGATTAAGGGCTTGGAAAGCAAGTCATGCAAGAAGAGGCTGAAGCAGCTAGGCATGTTCAGCTTGTAGAGAAGGTGTTTAAGAGGGGAGGTGATAGCACTCTGCAGATTCCTGAAGGGCTGCCACAGAGAAGAGGAAAAGCACCTTTTTTCTTGCTGCAGAAAGGAGGACACAGCCCAATGGCTGGAAATCGCAGCAATCTAAGTTTAGATGGGATATCTGGAAAGACTTCTTCCCTGTTAGATCAGAGAGGCGGTGGAACAGACGTCTAGGGAAGTTGTGGACTCTCCATCCCTGGGAGCGTTCAAGATGGTAACAGGCGCAGGTCGGAGATGATCTAGGTGTAGCGATGCCTATGTTCTACCGCAGGGATTTCCCACACCTCTGGGCTTTGCTGCTTGCCCCCTTCCCCACTTCCCGCTACGTGTTTCAGGGTACTTTTAAGCCCCGCTCAGAAGCACTGGGTGCTGGCTATAGCCAAGGCTGAGGAGTTTGTCTGGGCTGTGCCAATGCTCCTGCTGGGATCAATACTGGAGGTTCCTGGCTAGAGGGTCTTACCCGTCTGCTCAGGGTCGGACCAATGTCATATTTGGGGTCAGGAAGGAATTTTACCCCATGGTCAGATTCGGATGGACTGTGGGGGTTTTTGCCTCTCTTTGTAGCGGAGGCCCAGGACCTCTTGAGCATATATCGACAACGCTTTATAGAAGCAGGACGTTGGCTGCCGCGGTTCCCCTGCTTTCCCTGCGGCAGGTTAGCGTTAAGTGAGTGTTGTGTCAGGATTAATAGCAGTGTCTTGTAGAGGTCAGAGATAGTGGATCGTATAGGATGGTTTGGATGGGGCTGATCCTGTCTCAGGAAGGGGGTTGGACTAGTTGCGACCTCAGAGATCTCTTCCAGCCCATCTTCTCTATGATTTTATGACAGGGACTTGGCACATATCACACCCTCCGCTCACAGCTGGACCACTTGCTCTTGTGTATTCCCTGGCTCTTTAAGCTTACGCATTAAGGCCGGCTGTCTTTCCGTTAGACACATTGGTCACCGGAGCAGAGACCCCCATAACTGTTGGGCCAGGAAGTTCCCGTCACCCTCTTTCCGACTCAATGAGTGTTTCCATTCTGCACAAAGCTGCTCTACTTCACAACGAGAGGCCAAGCCCAGATCAGGCAGTAATTAGGATGCTCCCCAAGGTGACAGGAGCCTTCTGCTCAAATCCCTGCTCTGCATTAGAGAAGGCACTGGGACCTGTTGGCCCCTCCAGGCGGGAAGAGCAGAAGGACCTTGGATTTCTGATCTAACCCTTTTCTTCCAGGACAAATGCCTGAAGATGATGCTTTTGCTTGTGGAAGGAAAAGTTGCGTTCCACCCTCAATGCCTCACCAACCTGCCTGGCACGCATGCGAGTGGCAAGCATCCAGGCAGCTCCTCAGCACGCGACTCCAATGACTTCTACTATCCAGAAGCCACTGCTGGTAACCCCAAGTGGGCCTCGCTGTCTGGTCCCTGCGCCCAGCGCGTGTGCAAGAGGCAAAAACTTCCGCCACGTGCACTCATTCAGGGAGCGTCTGCAGCAGCTGGCCGGCTTCACTGCCTGCGGCTCCTTACGGCAGCCACATTCCCCACGTTTCTGGCTGTGAGAATGAACAAGACAAGAGGAAGCAGATCCTGAGAGCGGGAGCACAGCTGGGGAATGCGACCCCCAAGCCCTCCAATTCCCCAAAGGCAGCTCTGCTGTCCACCGCAAAACTTTCCCACGAGGCAGCATGCCAGACCGTGGCATGGGGCGCCACGATGCCTCTTCCAAGTGCACAGGCTCAGCTTCTGCTTACACACCTCGGTGCTGCGTGGATGCGCTGCATCAGCCAGACGTGACCGCGCTCTGCTGAGCTTCACCCGCGGCACAGCGTGGGCAGGCCTCCGGCTGGTGATAGCTTCCAGCACGCAGAGCGCCTGAGAAAAAGTGAGAGGAAAAGGGAAGAGCAGAAAAATCAGAAAGGGCAAAGGGAAACCTCTAGTTTCTTTTGCATCCATATACTGCAAGAGCGAGCAGCTGGAAGCTAGCGTGAGAAGGCAGTGCGCTCACAACAGAAGCAAAGGCCCCATGCTCCTCCGGCACTGGGCTGATCAGAGCTCCCAGGTGGTGCCGGGGACCCCGCAGCGAAAGCATATGCCCAAGACTCGGATTTGTGTTCAGCGCCAAACTCTGACACACACTCGCACTGTGACCTGGGGCCAGGCACTTCTCCAGCTTGGAGCCCCACTTCCTGTCTGCCATCTTCTCTCTCATGCCCGACTTGGAGCAACAACCATAAGTCCAGTTTAAGGGTAATTAACCAGTCTAATGCTCTTGAGAAAAGGCAATGCATCTCTGCAATGTCACCATCAAATGTGCATAGAGAGCGGAGTCTTGTTACGTGGCCCATAGGACGAGGGTGAATCCCACATCTTTCCTCTCGGACTTGGTCTGGTCTCTTGGTTTATAAACTTGGGGACGGGTAGTCTCTTTCCTACCCTGGAAATCTTCAAGAGGAGACTGGACAGTCACCTTGCCGGGGTCATCTGGCCCCCAGTTGTCTTTCCTGCTTGGTGCAGGGGGCTGGACCTGATGATCTTCCAAGGTCTCTTCCGGCCCCTTACAATCTACGAATCTAGCGGCACGGATACGCAGCTCCATGGCAGTACGGGGCCTCTGCGTGTTGCTGTAATGCAAAGAGAACAACAGAGCCAGAACCAAAGGCTTTGGCTGCCTCTTCGAAGTGGTAAGGTTGGCTATTTGGTCTCCCGTGCAAGTGGGAGCCCACTGCTTCTGGAGGGCAGCACCAGGAAGTACAGGTTGGGCGGCTCATAGCTTGTTTTCTAGGGAGCCGTTTCCTTCCATCTCTCCAACACCAGCAAGATCCACCTGGCTGAAGGTAGGATGCCAAAGCTAGGCAAGTGACCGGTTTGGTGTAGCACGACAAAGCCCAGTGCTCCTGGCTCACACCAGCTCCGGCAGAAAGATGCCATTCATCTCTGAATAAAACAGCCCTGAAAAAGGATGACTGGCTCCTTGCCAAAGTTTCTCATCCAGCCACTCCTTTACTACTTTGGCTCACAAAACATCTCACAACGTGGATGGGAAGCGAATGCACAGGACTTCAGGCTCACACATAGTAGTGGTGGGACCCTGGGCCGCACGGAAGATAGCGTCCAGGTGTAATGCGAAGTGTCCTGGAGCAAGTCCGAGACCGCCCAGCACCAGGGCTGGACATAACTCCAGGCATGGAGCTGGTTCTCTGCCACAGCACCTTTATAAAACAGGTCAGTTACTGCCTCTTCCCCAAGCTTTTAGCCTGCTCCCCGGAGATTGAAAGCATTTGAAGGGCAGCAGCAAATTCCCAGCCTTTGCCACGAACCGCTGGAAACACAAAAACCGTATGTTGGAAAAACAGAGTCCCAAGACATCCTGACCAGAAACATACTTGGAGAGTGAGTCAGTGGATAGGAGTGGGAAGAGAAAGTTGCACCCTCTTACTTAATGAAAAAAGCAGAAGGTAACAGACAATGCTTTGAACAACACTCCCCCTTCCAAAAATAGAGCCAGAGCGAGAACTCGGGCCTCGCCCATGATACTCACTGCAAAGCTAAAGGAAAATCTTGGTTGGGATGGGTCTCTCTGAAATCAAATCGGTGAGAATTGTTTAAACAGGTTATTGCTACAATAACCCGGAAAGGATGCGTGTTGTGTATTTCACAGATGTTTTCGGCTTAGGGTAAAATACCCTTGCTTCGTAAAACAATGGAAAATATAGTAAAGGATAGCATATACATGCTCACACACACAGCTGCTCTTGCCAGATGTTGCAGAGTAAAGTAGTGAAGGGAGAATTAACATGTTATTGTCCAGAAACACGCACCAGACTCAGAATTCGTCTCCGCAGGAAGTGCCATCATAAAAAGCGAAGCGTAAAAACTGTGTCCGACCTACTGACAGCACAACTGCAGAATTATGCAATAATTGTGCCCAAAGCTTGACAACAATAGTTATTAAAAACCCCTTGCATTTCTCTGTGTAGCTGGAAACTGCCTTAAAACCTGAACATGACGGACAGCCACAGAGAATACTGTAGCATCTGGGTAACAATAGAACTACATCAGCAGAAGTTCCCATACACCACAGCGTGCTATGACTATCCAGGATCAAAATGCAGAAGAACCGCTCAGTGATACGCAGTCACAACATCTGCAGGCACAAAGCCTGAAAAAAAATGAAAGCCCCCAAACAGAACACAGCCTTGGCGCAGCGACCGGGGGAAAAAAGACTAGCACATACCTCCAAAGCAGCTCAGCGATCCTGGCTGGATGCTACGGGCCGTGTTACACAGAAGGTCAGATGAGATCACTACAGTTCCTTCCAGCTTTCAAGTCCATGAACATCAGGGTTCATGTTGTCGTGACATGGGACGTCCGTCCAGCCGCTGCAGAGCAAGCCAGACGAGAAAGGCTGGAGGTGCAGTAATGAGCTATAGGTCAGGTAGGCAGGTTGTAGCTGTATTGGTCTAGAGGCAAAAGAAATCAAAACTTGTGGAAGAGGTGATCTCTTTTATTAGACCAACCAGATATTTGCAAACCAACAGACACTGGACTAGAGAACGCCTGGAGCAGAAGGCCCATTCGGGTGGGTGTTAGCATTTTCTGTCCAGCTCCAGAGGGGGGTTGGTCCCCCGCGGAGGGCAGGCTCTGGCCTCTGAACCCCTCAGGTTCATCAGATCCCGCCTGAGCAAGGCTGCCAGAGGTCCCCGTGCTCTGCATTGTCCTGGGACCCCCAGGGACGGGGTGCTCAGTGAAGCAGATCAGTTATGGTCTCGTGCAGGCTGTGCTCTGGCTGAGCACCAGCCCCTCCATGAGCATATCTGTGTAGTGAGCAGCACCGAATCCAGGGGGGCAGGATGGGGCTCTCGGCGATTCTCTGGAAGCTACAACCTACAGACAATGGCTGCGGTCCCCATGGCTGCTTCCACACTGGGCCTGACGCTTCTTCCACAGGGTCTGAAAGAGGAACAAGACCAGCACCACGTCCTACCAGGCAAGGCACTGTCTCCCTGTGATCTGACCCAGAATGCTTGGGACCTAAGCTCCAGTGTCAGATGTCCCTTTCCCCCCCCAAAGTAGAAACCTCCCAGGGCCAGGGCCAGGGCCTGGACCAGGGCCAGGGCCAGGGCCTTCAGAAGGAAGGGGGTGCATGGCACGGCAGCAGAACTGAGCCCTCACTTGCAGCAAACCACATTTCACTATGAAATTAGCCCCCCGCTCAGCCCTGCTTTGGGATGGAAACTCAGCAGCCCCCTTCGTATCCCATCCAAGCACTTAGCAGGACGGGGCACGGGCTGAGGCGGCGGTCGCTGCAGCCCATCACACCCCTCAACACCCGATTTTGTTTTTTGTGAGGATTAAAAACTGCCTGGAACAAGTGCCGGCCTGTCCCCCCAGGTAGTGCTTGGCCCTTGTTTCTTCAGATTTTTCCATATTGTTTCATTAAATTAAAAGCAAATACCTCAAGCCCAGACTCTCGTCGCTGTGCCGCTACTCCCCTGCCCTCCCCTGGATGCACATTTGATCACTTCTCCGTTATTTAAGGCTAGAGCCGGAGGGTTGCACCGGAGGGTTGTAGCTACACCAGCTGGCTCCAAGTCCCTTGCTACAGCTGCCGTGCACTGCTACACGCTGTAACTTCCTCCGCACCGGTGCAGCCAGCAGAGTCCCCAACATGTTACTGGCTGCAAATGAGCTGCACTGTTGCAAAGCAGAGCTCACACTGGCCTAATGCCTCTACCCCAGGGCAGGATCCTGTGCAGCATACCAACACCACACCTCTTCTGACACACAATTATTTCCATCCTTTTTTTCCCTGTTGCTTCTGCATTGCAATGGACGGACACGCAGCATCCAGGACTCGGCCTGGCAGCCACTGTGAATAATGGTCAGAGCTTGCAAAAATAAAAATATACCTTAAGAAAGCCAGCACTTAGACCTGGGCACGAGTGTGAGCTGGTGCACTCGTTACAGCTCCCCAGAGCACCAACTCTCCTATCCTGCTAAGTCGGGTCACAAATTCAGCGGTGACTTCCGATCAAAAGAAACTCAGCCTAAGCCTTCAACTTGAGGCATCACTACTAGAGAGAAACGCAGTCGCAGAGCTCTTCAGAGAAGATTCCGACTCTGCCCATTAGATACAGCTGTGTACAAACTGCTGAGATAACTGGAGATTTTTTTTTCTTCTTTCCAGCTAAAGAGAAAGCTAAAGGGACCCTTCCCAGTCCAGTATGCAAACGTATTACCTGCTCATCACTCGAGCCATGCAGGTCATGATATCTCTGCAATACATTTCTTGAATTCTGCAGCTTTGGGAGAAAGCAGTATTGCTCTTATGTGCGACTTCCTTGCTTACACCGATGGCTGCTCCATTTCTCTCCAGCTGACACTCAAACTAGCGCTGCGCAGGAATACCCGGAAATGTTTTCATGATTGGGACAGTCAGTTTTGGTGACTCTTAACTCAGACATTGTGGAAAAAGTTTCCAAGTTTGTCAATCTGGGATAGTTCATCAAATGAAAAGTTTGAGCTGAGTTAAACTGAATTTTCAATGAGAAAAGTTGGGAAATTTTGACCAAAAAAGATTAAGAAGAGGGTGGTTGGGTATTTAAATGGAGACAAACTGGTTTGTGCTTTTTTTCCAGTTTGTTATTTGCAACAATTTGAGATACCAACTTCTCATCCTGAGCCAGGATCAGGGTGTTTCGGAGGGGAAGAGTTCAAGTCTGCAATTCCCCAGGGACAAGAAATCTGCTCCCCAGCCAGCCCTGCTGCCAAGCCCAGGTGGACGACACGCTGCAGCGCTGGATTAAAATACCCTACCCCTGCTTCCGTGGAGTTTGGCTCCGAATCCTATCTGTGCTGCACAGACCCATCTTCTGCACCGCAAGCCAGTTTCTGAAGTTGGGGTAAATGAGCAGAGTTCTGTAGTTCAGCGCAGCCTCCAGCCCACCACTGCAGACCTTGGGGTTTGTTCGGTTCGTGAGCTGCTACCACCGCGGCTTTGCCAGCAGAGCTGTGTCACCTGGGTCCCGGAGGAGACGTGGCGTGTACCGGCCGCATTGGCTAAGGGGTGTGACCTTTTCGTGCTGTAGCCAACAGTCGTACCAGGAAAGCACAGGGCAATGCTCGACCAGCTGCTAGTTTGTTCTGCCAAAGAACATGGCGAGGCAATGCTCTTCTTCCCCCAGCCCATATGGGACCTTCTCCTATCAAAGTCTGTTAGTCAAAGTCCAAGAATGATGCTACTGTTGTAGACAAGTGATTGATTTGACGTCTTATATTACTAAACAGGCAAAGTCGCTTTCAGCAGTGAAGTTTGGGAATACAGCTCCCCCCCAACACTCATTTTGATTTCTAGCTAGGCATGAAGCCCAGTGCTGAGCATTAAACTGAGGGCACCTTGACCAACTGAGACGGTATGTTTTATCCTAACACTTGTACCGCTAGACTCATGTTCTTTAGGAGGAAGGTCTGGCTGTACAGGCAGAGAGAAATGAAAAATAGTCCTGAGACTTTACACTAAATGCTAAACTCTTCTGTAAAATCTTTGGCATAAAACCAAATGCCTGATAGTGAGGGTGGCTGGACACAAATGGCAGCAGGTATCTCGTGGATGTCTGAGTTTGAGACCATAAAGTTCAATGACCTGAATGCCAAAGCACTTTTACTGCGTTATATAGCAGTTTGCATCACACACACTTACTATCAGCCCAAGCAGAAAAGTAACTTAGGGCCTGAGTCAAAGTCCACTAAAGTCTATGGCAGGGGTTTGCAACCTACAGCCCATGTGCTGGGGCTGCGCCATGCCATCCATCCCCTCTGCAACACCTCCCTCTCCTTACCCGGAGTAAATTCAGCACTATCGCACTGACTGGGACTGGCAGAGGGAACAAGCCAAAGGAGATCAGCCACTTGTGAGAAAGGACAGGGCGGACACCAAGAGTTTAAACACAACGATGAGGATGCCACAGCTGTCCATGCTTGTTTAACCACTTGAACAACCACCAGTGTAGGAATGCTTGTGCAAGTAACAGAACTAGGAACTAAAGGGGACCTTGAGGTTAGAAAAGTAGGCAATAAAGGCAGATAAGAACAAAAGAAGACGAATGCTTAAGTTTGGGCCAAGGTGCAACTTGGAGCAAAGGATGGCATTCAAGCAAAATGATTACGGTGCACATTTGCAAGACTGACCTACCAGTGAAACGCCAATGACCCAAAACAATGATATCTGGACAAAGTACTCAAGGGCAATGGCAGGGAACAGCCCCGTGTTGGCAGGGAGGTGGACAGCAGGCCCGTCTGCTCTCCCCATCTCTGTTGCTTATGAAAACCGCCTGAAAAACGTACCTTGCAAAGCTAAAGTCCACTGCCAGACAAGGAGACGAGCTCGCCGCTGGAGGCCCTGGCAATTCCAGCTATGCATTCCCGTCACGTGGCCTCAGACATAAGGACTCGTACCGCCACGTTCAGATTAATACACAGAGGCGCGAACCTGCTGGAATCTGCTTGTGTCTGCGCCACACATCTGAATAACACTGCGAGACCATTTCATCTCCAGTGGGGAGAAAGGGATCCCTGTTTTGAGGGTGAAGAGTATACAAGTTTATCCGCACAATATGCTTCCCACATTTGCACACTTAGAAACAATTTCCAGGCACAAGCGTGTTCTCTCTATTACCAAGTTATTTTATAAATGAAGCTACAAATAAGGACAGAGTTATAAACCCTACAAAACCAGAAAAAAAATAAGCATGTTGTGATATAGTCATTGAGTTGGCTTCTTTTCTGTCGCACGTTCTACCTTTGAGCTTTTCCTGATTTTCAGCGGTATGAATGAGAGCAAAATCATGCCCAGCCACCAGCTATGGCAGTGGGTCAGGGGCAGATACTTCGCAGGGTCAGGGCTCCTTACCCCGCAGAGGGGGGAGGATTTGCAAAGCAACCAGGGACTGAGCGAGCCGCAGCGATTAGCTATGTCACTGCTAGGATGGCTCCAGCTGTTGGCTGCAGCTTCTATTTAAAAGGGACACGGCTCCTCTGTTCATCCATGTGGGGACACAAGTGACCTCCAGCCAGTGGAGCAGCAGCACCCTTTGAAGAAAAAACCCACAGTAGCCGAGCTGCTAGTCCTTCATTCAGCAGCAGCTACCAAATTTTGGTGGGTGGCGACTCACCCCAACAAGAAGGGTCCAGGCTCTCACATACTGACACCTTCTCACACGTGCCTATATAAATCATTTCCAAATCTGAAGAGGCGTTCTTGGAGAGCGGTTCATTTCAGCTGGATCACAAAGAATAAAGAAAGGAAGCTCAAACCCGTACATTTGGTAACATTTAAACAGCTTCAGTAGTGTCACTTGCTGGAAGTGACAAAACGGCCAGCCTAGAAGTGCTGAAAAACAAGCGACGCACAAGTTGGAGTTGAAGGTATTTTCTGAACCTCTCAATGAGCTGTCTTACACATCTCGGAAACAAAAGGGGAAGAAAGCATCTGGACATTGGAAATACCTCTGATGAAAAGGAAAGTACGTTTTAACCAACGCAGGCGTGTCAAATGCATTTTTCACAGACAGCCTAACTCCGTTTTTAAGGTCTCTGGGTCCATCATTATCAACCTGCTGAGGTCAACGGGAGGTTCTCCAGAACAGGGTTAAAACATGGCCGGGTGTAGCAGCTAAGCTTTATCTAGTGCCTTTATGGAGCACCTTGTCACAGCACCCAGCATCACCCAACAGGAGAAAAGGCCGTCTTCAAGACTACTGCTGCTTTGGCTTTTTCCCCTCTTCCTCTTTTCTTTGGGTGTAGTAAGACAAATTTTATCCAGAGGTAGATAAAAGCTAAAGTATAGTGGCATGGTTTGGCTTTCTTTCACTGACATGTGGTAAATCACCAGCCCCTTTTACCTCGTGGTGACTAGCTGGTCTGTCCATACCCTTTTTTCTTCTCTACAGCCATCCTCCCCTGCAACGGGGATCACTCTTGGTCCCTACTCTCTCCTACCTCTAATGCAAACCACGACACAGCTCACGTTCACGTTAAAGTGCAATCAGCTGGCTTCCGAGCCGACATTCCCAACATCTTTAAAAGAGGAGGGGAGGGGCACAAACTTTTAACATCTCACAGCCTGTTTCAGGAGATCAGGAGACTCAAGCAGACGTGGCTTAGAGTCGATACTGGGCTCACAGCTATTCATAGCCAATAAAGCTAGAGGTTTCCTGCTTCCCCACCCCCGCACATTAAGACACAGAGTCCAGCTCATAGGCCATGAATTTGATGCTTCTGCTCCAGGCCCTGAAACATTTCATCATCCTAGAAGTGACCTTTCCATGTTTCATTTGAAGATTGTTTCCTTCCATTGTACCATTCCTCTCCCGGCTTCTTGTGAATGAGACCCAGCCGCAGCTGCAATCCTTTAAACTCAAGTCCCGTGAAGAGGTCTGATTTTCATAAAAGAAAATATTGGCACAAGACCTCTTTTTAGTTGGCTTTTAATAAAATGCACTGTGCTGCTTGCTTGTGTTGTCCCTTCTGTAAGTCTCTGAGCTCGATTTTCAGTTCCCATCTTTCCTCTCAATACAGCCATCGCACCCTTACTCAGCAGTGGGAAAGGTAATGCAGTTGGGTCACTTCTACTGAAGTGTAACCTGAGGCCAGAAAGGCCTTCACTTGCCTGAGAAACGTGTAACGGCAGGAGCCGGGTCAAGCAGTTACTCACCTGCGAGAAGAATGTAACTAGTGTCATTTCTGTGAAACCACAAATATTTATTTTTAATGAAAAAATACTGAAAGTGTGCCACAGTGTCCATATATTCATCTGAATAGTACAAAGATATGTATTTCTGAGAAAAAAGTCTTAACACTGTAGAAAATAAATGTGGTTCTTAAATTATGTCAAAAGAAACCAGTAAAAAAAGCAATGTTTTATACACTGGAATAAAACGAAACAATTAGTCAGAGGTAATAATAAATTATAATTACAGTATCTCAAATATTTGTTTCATGCTTTTTCAGCATTAGTTTCTAAACAAGTTATGTGTAACATACCCTTGAAGTCAGCAGTCAAAATGGTCTTTCAATGAAACTGTGAGTAATGTGTGGATCTGAGCAAGTCCTAGAAAAATGACACCACTGGTTGTTATTTACTGATACATAAAACAGGGGGAACATGGTAGTTTTAGGTTTGTATCCAACATATATTTTGTTAATGGAAGTTAATTTAATTTTAGTCAAGTAATCTTTATACTTCAATGAACTAAACAGCAATTATGGTCATTTGCAAGTATGTTACTCAAGCACATTGCACCAACAGCGCTCGTGCGATGCTACAGACTGTAGTGACGTTTTGTACAATCAAAATGACAAGAGCCTGGAGCCATTTTAGGGTCTAATTTAGCACTGTTCGAAAGTATAACGTGCTTTTAAATACAGATCACTTTTGCTCTTTAGAAACGGGAAAATCCAAACATGCACTTAAACCTGAAACCTCCATGCCTCAAATACTGTGTTTTAAACAGTAAAACGTCAGTTTTGTGCCATTTTTTGCAAAATTTCCCCCAATCAAAAAACAAACAAAAAAAAAAGAAGTCAAATAGGGCCTAAATTTGATTTGTGTCGTTATCTTCTTGGTCTTGTTTATACATGAAGGTTAACAGGAAGAGGGCGATATCCAGAGAGGACCAATAGGCAGTGTGTGATGTTACTGCAGACCAGTATCTGCTCTCCACGAGACCTTCCCTGAGTTCAAAATCAATCCTGTGCTCCAGTTCCACTAGAAACGAAACAAACACCACAAAAAGAGAGTCAGTGTTCAGACCATCACATTTCAACAAACCCACCCACATTTTCCCCTCATTGCCAGTTTGCACAACTCCTTAACCCTAGAATCTACTACTGTTATCTAGCTGCGTGCGCACACACGCAATGAAGACACGCTATCCAATATTGGCGAGTCGCTCACGCAGAAAATGCTGAATCTGGGGAGAAAAGTTTTAGAACAGCCTCTTTTTCCCTTGTATGCATAAATCAATAGCCACTAGTGTCTTAAAAAGGCGCAAGGCCAAGATTTGCAGAAACGGCTGGAGTGGAGTTGGCTATCTTGCTCTTCAGGGCTCCAAGTGGAGTCATCTGAAAGTGGCCTGAATTTTAGGAAGTGGTTTGGAAACCCCCACCCCCGCACCAACCCGGTCTCTAAGTGGGGTTGGAAAGCTGTTGTATAGTCCAGGAAACACAGGAGAAGCAAAGGTTTGTTGTTTTTCTTTCTTTTTGACCAACTGTACAGTTGGTTCCTTCTTCGTTATGATCTGTGAATCTCTGAACATCTATGGAGAGATGTTCGAAAACTTTTCAGGCACAAAGTGTCTTTTCTTCGGGTCTCTTTAAGGCATCCTCAATTAGGCGTAAAAATACAATGGCTCCCACGTCCCAAGGCCCTGCTAAAATCAGTCCCTACACACCAACCCAGGTCTCTGAGGTCTCGGACACACGTTCATTTGTAATGCTGCAAAAATGAAGTGTGATGCGGGCATGCACAGGTGCACAGTCCCTGCCTGGAGGGCCACAAAGTCATCCCAAAGGCGCGCTGTTCAGGCAGGGAGCGATAGGGGGCTGCTCCTTTATCCCCACTCCCCCAAGCCAGGGGGGCCCCGTCTGTGAGCTGGATCATTGGCAGCGGCCAACCCCCTTTTCAGTGAAGGGGGACAGGCTGTCGGGGACCAGCTGGCAGCTGCCACCAGGAACAACTGTTAAGACAATCCCCTCGGGCTGGAGGGCTGCTCTCCCCGGACTTCCCCCCAACCCCTCTCCCCTGCTGCCTGTTGGCAGTGTGGGACTGTGTCCGGCTGGCTTCCCTGGACAGCTGAGAAGCAGCAGAGGAGCTGTGACGGCAGCAGCTCTGCCGGGGAGCCACTCGCTCTCCCTCCCTGCATCCCAGAGGGTGCTGGAAAGCAGAGCCCTTGAGGACGTCCGGGCTCGGAGACCCCCCGCAGCGCTACAAAGCCCCTGCCTGAAATGGGAACTTGAGACAGGCAGGCTGGCCATCTCCGAAACGCTACAAACAGCCTGAACATGCAGACGCTCGCTTTTCATAGCACGATCAGGGCATATACAGCAGCACTGCAAAAGCAATGGGTGTCCCCAGGCCTTAGTTTCCCCGATTCGTTCAAAATATTTCAAGACTTTCCTTTTCTTCTGAGGGCACTGCAATCCCATACACAGCAAGCCACACCCATCCTTACTGGGCATTGAACCGTCTTAATTGTGAGCATACTGAGATCAACACATTAGCAGAGATCTTCTTTTCCCCCTGAAAAAACAACTAAATGGACTGACAAGCTAAAATCCTAATTAGCTCTAAGAAGTCCCCCTCCTCCCTCTCTCAGGGTCTCTCTTAGATGTCCATCTTGGCTTAAAGGGCACAAACCTTCAATGTCACTCAAAAGATTTTTCAAAACTGACGTCTCCACAACTGAGACACGAGCAGCCGTCACGTTAACATCTAACTTGTTTCCAAGAACAGGGAAGGGGAAAGACAGAGCCTCCCAACTCCTAACCAGAGAGCAAGAGCATAACCGCAATCATTTCCACCCGTGCAGAAGTGAGAATTCAGTCAAATTCCTCTAGTCTTTCTGCAAGAAGAGGGCTGAAACATTTCTCTTTCCATCTCAGACCCGTAGGCTTCTTGCCAGATTTAAATACAATCCAAGCGCACGACCTTTCAAAAGTTAATACTTCAGCCACGAATTGCATTGCCCCTTTGCAGCGTGCCTGGCCTAGGCTACGGGATCAGCTTCGACAGACCATGAGAAGGAGAAAGGGCAGCAAGGCTCGAGGGGCTGAGATCCCTGAAAAAAGCCCCTCCAGAAAGATAACGTTCATCGTTACGCCACTATGAATAAATAAATAAATCAACTCGAGACTGCCCGAAATGATGATTCAGTTAAGTTATCTGTTGAGGGTTACTCTCAGCTAGGGAACTGTGTGATGCATCATGTGGACGCTATCACAAGATGCAGCCCTGATAACACTTGGGCCCAGACTGCAACTACAGGGGTCTGATCCAAAGTCCAGGCTGACCCTGACACCTGCATTATTCAGAAAAGGAAAAACCTCGATCTCAGGCTAATTTTAAATGCTGAAATAGAGTGAAACAACGGTCTGCTGCTGAAATAAGGCATCGCTGGCCGTGTCTACACGAGATGCTGACGGCATAGTTGTTACAGTGCAGTTATTTAGTGCTTGCAGAAGTAGTGACTGTGCTGTAATCAGCATCACTGTGCAGTACTGTCCTGGCATGGTTGCCTAGTGATGCTTACTGCGCAGTAGCTCGTTACTACGGTGCAGTGGCATGGCATCACGGTTCATGCCCGGTGACGCTACTGCACAGTAAGCACCTTGTGTAGACGCGGCCACTGAGAAGCTCTGGCTGAAATGTCGTATTAGGTAAAATCAGATTTCTGGACCGCAAAAACCTTTGCAACAACACGGACTGAAAACCTTCTGAAATGATGTCAGGATCCTGAACTTCAGCACAGGAGATGCCTACTCCCTCCTGAAAACTTGCTAGCATTTTGTCTTACATCTCAGCCATCTCTGCTTGAGGCAGGACCGGGTCTTGATTTGCATTTTAGATACTTCCAAGAAGACCGTCTCAGGCTTGCACACCTAGCAGAGACCTTTCAAAAGTGACAAGCTGGTTTGCTTTGAGGCAATTTCTGCTGACTTTTCCCCCAGCGAGATTCGAGAGACTGTTATAGCACAGACCTCAGCGTCGAAAATTCTCCGAACCATACAAACCAGTGAAAGTACTGGAAATAATTCCATAGGATTTGAAGCGTGGGAATAGATCCAATGTTCAGCATCTTAAAGTTACCCAAGACACAATTTAACCAGGGGCATATGTCTGCTGTTATTACATACATATTTCCACCCTTCCCCATCACCCACACCCAGCCAACCAAGTTTCCACTTCCAAGGGGAGGCTTGGTTGGTACGGGTGCCGCGCTGTGTACTAACATGTGGCATCGAGGAAGCCAGAGCTGCTGTGTGGGAAGGTCGGGGTTCCAACGGTAGCACACTTCTTGTCTTCTCCCTCCGTCACTTCTTTGCCCGTCTCAGATGTTTGCGATGTGGGTACAGCAGATCGTCCAAACCTTGAAAACAGCATCCCCCCAAGGCCCTTCCCGATGCTAGCAGCTCCTGCGTTCAGCATAAAACACAACAGGCATTGTGCCAGTTATATCAAACCTCCAATTACAGCCAACGCAACGCCCAACAATTACAGCCGAGCGACAGAGGAAGACAGACACTAGTCAGGTTTTTCCAGGGTAGGAACAGCTGATTTAAATGAAGCAGACACTTGCCGTCATGACACTCCGCTCTAGCAGACGATCAAAGGTTAGGTTGGGAAGTGCAGTAATGGAAACAAAAATGGACTAGAGCAGCTTTGGACAGAGTCCAATCTTGAAGAGGTCATGCTTTAAATGCTTGGTGTACAAAGTCAGAGCCTTTTAAAAACCCATCTCTTCTGCAGTACGTTCAGTAGGACTTGTGGTACCACCTCTAGGAAAAAGTCCTAATTTTTACCTATAACGTGAGAACACGTCTTCCTCAGTGTGCGCTATGCTTGGAAGGGGAGGACTGCTGCTCGGGAGGATGTGCAAACGTTTAAAGACCACTTTACAGACGGGACATTTTTCTCCTGCCTTTGCTGCCATCTTGTGGATAATACACGAAAATCACATTCAATAAAAATCGAAGTTCAAACATCACTGTTCCCTGAGACGAGCAACATAATCGACCTGTATTAGATTCATATATTGCATAACATATGTATTTATTCCTTAAGCA